TGCCCGTCGCCCTGAAGCGCTTGTACAACCACGTGGAAGTCCGAAAGGATCTCATCAAAAGTCCTGAGCACTGCCCAATCATTTTCAGTGAGGAAACTTGACTCTTCGAGGCAAGGAGGAAACCGCCGGCCTGCCTCTCCCCTTCGGCCATCTCGGAAAGTTCTCTTCGCTTTGGCAATAAACTCTTCGTAAAAAGGCTGTAGCCGCAACAGTCGTTTGATCATGTAATATTGGGATAGCCATCTGGTATCGTTGTCAATGACCACGTCGACTGGCCGTTGCTTTCCAATCTCGCCGTCGTCAGCTGCCGCATACGAGTCTTGTTGGATTTGGCGAAGCAATTGCGTCAGCACGTCCGACCGATGGACCCAAACGGCGAAATTGTGAGCTTTGCCGACGGGGCCTCTCCGCATCCACGTGTCGTGCGCTGCCCTTGCCAATGCTTCGCCCTTGGCGACGGTGTCCTCAAACGCCTCGACATCTTTTCCGAACAGAAGGGACTTGACGACGAGATTGAGAATGTGGCCAACGCATCGAACGCGCCGTCGCACCGGATCGAAGTGCAGCTCATGCGCGATCTCGCGCATCGCCGTGTCGTTGTTCGCTGCATTGTCGAGGGTGAAGTAACCCACTTTGTCCTCGATGCCGAAGGAGCGAATGATGTCAAGGATCTCAGCTGCGATATTCTCGCCGGAGTGTCGTTCCACCAGCTCCGGAATGCCCAGGACAAGCTTTCGGAGTTGGTTGTCCTCATCCCGGAAGACAGCCGTCACGCCGTATAATGCGTGACGGTTTCTAGTCCTCGCGCCATCGAAAGCGATATGTATCTGGCCCGGAGACCTCCTTAAAGCATGCTGAACGGCATCGCGATGGCGCTCGAACTGCTGAATAGCCAGGCTCTGGATAGTCTTAGCAGTAACATGCGCATCCTTGATACGTACGGCAGGATTCAGATATTCGAATATTTGTCGCAGACGTGGATGCTCGACCTGCCTGAATGACTGCTGGCTCTCTACTATCCAGTTCACCACCAGCTTCTGGAACTCGGCTTGATCGAATCGTCGGATTAGGTTGTTCGCCAGGGCTTGGTCGTTAGGCTCCGAACGTTTGAGGCCCATGAGGTCTGTGATCGATGCGAAGGCTTTCCTTCCCTCTTGCGTCTGCAGTGGCGTTCGTCGTCGTCCTGACGGATCCCAGTAGCCGTGAGACTTCCAGAGGTGGTGCTCGGCATTCTGTGTGCCTCTCGATTCGTATGACTGTGGTGATGATGCTTTTTGGCGCACGCACGGCATGCAGATCCATCGCCTGGACGCTTGTGATTGAATCTCAACGCCGTAGTCCCATATCCAAGACACCGTATCCTTGGTTCGTTCGGCTAGTGTGAAGCCCTTCCAGACGCGGAATATGCGCCGCTCCTCATCTGAGGATGGCGTCCAGGA